TTTCCCCCTTCTCTCCCCTCCACCCTGTAACCCATTTCCCACCCACGTCCCCCCCTTTAGTTCATGTCCATGTGTCATACTTATGAGTTCTTTAGCTTCTACATTTCCAGTACTATTCTTGCCCTCCCCCTATCTATTTTCAACCTACATTCTATGCTACTTATTCTCTATACCTTTTTTTTTAAGATTCTGTTTATTTATTTTTAGAGAGGGAAGGGAGGGGGGAGAGAGAGAGAGAGAGAGAGAGAGATCAATGTGCAGTTGCTGGGAGTTATGGCCTGCAACCCAGACATGTACCCTGGCTGGGAATCGAACCTGGGACACTTTGGTTCCCAGCCCGCGCTCAATCCACTGAGCTATGCCAGCCAGGGCTATTATTCTCTATACCTTTTCCCCCTCCCTCCTCCTCCCACCCCCCTGCTGCTAGCCCTCCATGTGCCCTCCATTTCTGTGGTTCTGTTCCTGTTCTAGTTGTTTACTTAGTTTCTTTTGGTTTTGTTTTTGGTGTGGTTGTTAATAATTGTGAGTTTGCTGTCCTTTTACTATACATGTCTTTTCTTTATCTTCTTTTCTTAGATAAGTCCCTTTAGCATTTCATAAAATAAGGGCTTGGTGATGATGAACTCCTTTAACTTGACCTTATCTGAAAAGCACTTTATCTTCCCTTCCATTCTAAATGAGAGCTTTGCTGGATAGAGCAATCTGGGATGTAGGTCCTTGTCTTTCATGACTTGGTCCTTGTCTTTCATGACTTGGAAAATATTTCTTTCCAGCCCTTTCTTGCCTGTAAGGTCTCTTTGGAGAAATCAGCTGACAGTCTGATGGGAACTCCTTTGTAGGTGACTGTCCCCTTATCTCTTGCTGCTTCTAGGATTCTCTCCTTCATTTTTACCTTGGCTAATGTAATTATGATGTGCCTTGGTGTGTTTCTTCTTGGGTCCAACTTCTTTGGGGGCTCTCTGAGCTTCTTGGATTTCTTGGAAGACTGTTCCCTTTGCCGGATTGGGGAAGTTCTCCTTTATTATTTGTTCAAATACATGCTCAATTTGTTGCTTTTCCCCTTCCCATTCTGGTACCCCTATAATTCGGATGTTGGAACGTTTAAAGGTGTCCTGGATGCTCTTAAGCTTTTCCTTGATTTTTTGAATTCTTATCATGCTTTCCTGCTTGATTGATTCTATCTTCCTTCTGGTCCACTGTATTGTTTTGAGACTCAGATTCCTTCCTTTCACTATTGGCTCTCCTCCGCATATCTTCCTGCATCTCTTTTATGGTAACCTGCATCCTTTCATCTAAATTGCGCCCAAAATCAACCAATTCTGTGAGCTTTCTGATCACCAGTGTTTTGAACTGTGCATCTGATAGATTGGCTATTTCTTAGTCACTCAAAAGGATGAGTCCTGGGGGACTGATCTGTTCTGTTGGAAACATGTCTTATGTCTTTCCCTGTCTCTCTTTTTTTTTTTACTTGTCTGGTCGCTCTTGTTATGGTGGGGGGCGGAGACTTAGGTGTTCACCGAGGCTGGGCGGGAGATTGTCGCTAGATTGTGACGTTATATGTGGGGGCAGGGGCGGGAGCAGGGACGGGAGGGAACAATGGCGGTAGTTCCGTTCTCCTGGGATCAAAAGAACGGAACTCCTGACCCTCACTCAGGGTTGCTCAGACCCTTCTCTGGGATCCTGGGCTGCAAGCTCTGCCCTGGTCCACAATCGCTGCCTCACTGGGTCCGCCAGCCGCACCTTGCGTACTCAGGGATCACTGCTGCATTCTTGCGCCCCAGATAGCTGTCGCACCGATTTCGTGCCAAATTTTCCCCGACCTCCGCGCGCCGCTGACCCACGCCAGCCCCGCGCCCGCCCGGCTCGTCATCTCCTACCGGTCTGGATGTACGGGTCTACTTCAACTTCTTGGCTGTCCAACTTCTATTCAGATAAATTCTCTATCAGTTCTGAGTGTTACTCTATCTGTAAATTATTGTTGTTCTAATCTTGGTTGTGCGAGGAGGTACGGTGTGTCCACCTATTCCTCCATCTTGCCGGAAGTGTTCCCGACTTATTGGTTTTTAAGCTCTCATATCTATTTAGTAGACTGAGATTTTGAAATAGGTGTGTTTCCCCTGAAAAAAAATTGCTACAAATGTATATATTTCAAAAAGTACTTGGACAACAATAAAAAAAGTTTAGCCTTATGGTTGAAGTATAAAAACCATCATCCCTCTACATTATCTTTATATGTCAATTTTGGCATATTTTATTTATTCAACTATTGGAACAATAATGTCTGATTACCATATTGAAAACTTTACAAGTAATTTTGAAAACAGTAGCCCTGTGGAAGAGACCTAGAAAGTATACATGCATTACTCTGTTGATCAGCCTTTTTCCTTTACTCCCTTCATCTATTTTTAGTTCTCTTACTGACTCTATTGCTAGGATAAAGCTAAGGCTACCAAACTGCTACCAGAATTACCATTTTAATTCATCAGAAAATAGTTAGAGTTATCATCTAATTGAATCTATGATTTAGTTCTACATAACTGATGAATCCAGGATGTAAATATTCCATGGTAAATGAAATTTAACAGGGAGAAAAAGAAAGAGGTTGAGTGCATAGTGGTTTTCATTTTCCTTGTAGTGAGCCTGCAACCTAATTTTCATTTACTTTGTTGTTTAGTATATTAAATGTGGCCATATTCTCTTCTAGTCCTGTTCAGATCGGTTCTTTATAACACAGAACACAGAACTTTATGAATTTTTCCTCCACGATTGAAATAGTAAAAAAAATTAATAATCATTTGGAACTGAATGATGACATTCATGGCTTAAAGTAAGAGTGCATTTCACCTTAGGAAAGCAAAGAACCCCTGACACTTATGCATAGCAAAACATTTTAGGAAACAATCATCTTACAATACAAAGTGGGAGAGTGAAGTATCATAACACTTTGTATTGGACTTCTCACCATACTGTTTTTACATGTTCAGCTCTTAAAGTCTGGAAGAGAGATTGGTGGAGAATTAAATAATTCATGAGAATCCTAAAAATATTCAAAAGTGTTGATTTAGAAGACATTTGGCTCATATAAAAATTCAGTGAGTTTTAGGAAGGGATGAATTTCTCTGGTCATTTATTCCATAAGGTATTATTGAAGCTTTACAGTGTACTTAGCGTTATTACTGGTGCTAGAGATAATCATGAAGATTCAAACAAGGCTCTGTCCTCCTGGAACTTAAATTCTAAGGAGACTGGCTAAACAATAGCACGTAGACAAATAAGCAGATGCCATCCTTTCAGATAGCTCTAAATGTGTGCAGTGGAATAAAACGAGGCAGTGGGATAGAGAACAGCTTCAGCACTGGGAGTGGGGCCAAGAAAAGAAGGCTTCTCCAAACAGGTGACATTCAGGTTGACCCTTAGATGATGACAAAGAGCCAGGGTTCAGAGACCTGTGGCACCAACACTTCAGGCAGAGAGTCACTGGCAGAAACAAAGTTGGTATGTTCCTGATGTTAAAGTCCCAAATTCAGTGGAGTAAATTTGAAGATCTAATTGGCTTTATTAATTCGTTCATTGATCAGGCAGTATCCCATCTAGCAACCAGGAGGGCACTCAGGAATTGTATATAAAATGGAAGGGTGTTATAGGAAGACGAGTGGGGGCAAGGGAGCTATTAACAAAAGAAAGGATTCTTCCTGGTCCCAGGATATCTTTCCTCTGAGAGGAATAGAACAGGAATGTGAAGGGGTTTTATCATGTATATCGACTCTGCTTTTTATTGGGGGTGGGGGAGTGTGATGGAAGGGACCCTTCGGACACATTACCCTGCCAGTGCTTGATCAGAAAATTCCAGACAGGTTGATTAAGATTATGTTTCTGGAAGAGGTTGAAACTGCAGTTAGATCAGGTATTAAGTCTAGGTTTGATATCTGGTATCATGGGCTTTTAACATGTGTGATGCCGTTTGGGGACTGTTTAATGCTAAGAACAGGAACACCAGCATGGTTTGAACAGGGTGAAGAAGCAGAAGCTGATTCTCAGACATGGTTAGAGTAGGCAGGATCTAAAATCCAGACTTCACACCATATAAGGCTTTGTAATTCATCCAAGTCAGAATTTATTTTAAGTACAATAGGAAGGCAAGTTATATGAACTAGCATATACTTTTAAAAGGATGTATGTATGAATGAATAAATAAATGAATGTTGAACCTTCTCCTGGGATGTGTGACACATTAGCATGATATGTTTTAAGGTTTTTTTGAATGTTGAGAATACTAAGAATACTGAGAAGTAGGAAAGGAAGAGGGTGTTAGCAAATGGACACATGTGGCCTCTCAGTTGAGTTTAAAGCGGGCCTTAATGAATTTTTCAACTTTCGCAAAAGGGTTTCTCATTGAGTCATAGACAATTCAGATACTCTAAGACATGTCCACACTTCTCATTTATGAGAAAATATAATCCTTACTCTTATTTACACATAATCTGGAGATTTAATGTCCCAGACTCTGAGTCCAGATAGTTGACAAAAAAATTCAGATATGAATTCCAGCAAGTTAACCAGAGGCAAATTTCTACAGAGGACTTAGCACAGAAGGGAGCTAATCGCGGCTCTGACATACACACACATGAAATTTACAGTAGAAGATCAAGTTCAGAAATAATTGCTTGTCCAGAAACAAAATAAAGTAGAAAGGGAAAAAAAAAAGAAGAAAAAGGGAACTATATATCTGCCCCTGGTTGTGCCACAAATTTGCAGCTTAATTTCTGGCAAACCATTTAACTTCTCTGAACCAATATCTGCATGGATACTCTGAAATAGTATTGCATCATTCCCATTTCAGCCCAAATATTGTAGTTGCAATTTTTGAGAATGTAGGTAGCCTTCCTCTTACCAGGACACAGAGGAGTGATGTGTATTTTGGTGATTACCTAAGTTGATTGGGAGCTTTGGTTTAAGAAGTTGAGAAAAATATTTTAATATTTTTTCTTGATCCTTTTTAGGATTACCTTGGAGCTTGCATTGTTCTCACTGCATCTATTGCATGCATTAGTGGGTCTTCCAATTCTGGATTGGTGGGCTTAGGTCTTCTCTATGCACTCACAGTAAGTACAGATGAAAATCTCTCTTTCTGGGCAGTGTTGGAGGTATTTTTCTTAGCTATTATCAACTCTTATTCATGGACGTTAGAGGATAACTTTGAATTCATAACAAGCTGACGTCTTACAAATACTAGCAGATTTGGGCCTACACCAATATTTTAGAACAGCATGGATTTATTTCTAATATTGTGAACCAATTTTTATTTTATTTTTTCTATTTATTTGTTTATTGTATTGGCATGATGTTGCTTAATAAAGTTATACAGGTTTCAGGTGTACAGTTCTACAATACATCATCTGTATACTGTATGTTCACCACCCAAATCTATAAACCAATGTTTGGAACCTCCTCAAACCCTATGAACAGAACACCACCCCCCCACCAGGACTCCTTGGGATCCATGCCCTGAGTTGCTCACAACCTATTTAGCAACACTACAATGAATGTGAACATTGAGATAAGTACAAACCAGAGGTACATCCATTGTGTAGGGAAATCAGGCCTTCACAAAACAGAGACATTTGCGGACTCTTGAAGAACAGACAGCCACCTTCTTTGACAACTTTATCCCGTGACATCCTCTCTGGTCTCTGATATCCTGCAGCCCTTATGAATTATACAGCACGATGTACACTCACTGTCCAAGTCATTCTATCTCCAAACATCCAGGGACTGCAAAAATTGACACTTTATTGAAAGTGGGTTAATTTTTGTTGTTGTTGTTATCTAATGCAGATAACCAATTATTTGAACTGGGTGGTGAGGAACCTGGCTGACCTGGAGGTCCAGATGGGGGCAGTGAAGAAAGTGAACAGTTTCTTGACTATGGAGTCTGAGAACTATGAAGGCACCATGGGTATTGCTCAGAATATTATTTTGTTTCACTTAAATATGTATATTATTCAAATATTGTATCAAACATTTTTGCTTTTGTTTTCCATTTCAGTATCCAGATAATTGCCTCTCTTCTTGACTTTACTTGATTAGGTGCACATGGGATGATAAGGCTTCCTAGGCCTGAAAAGTCTTGGATACAATCAGAGTCCAAATAAATATTACTTAGTAATAGTTAAAGAGAATCATACATTTGGGCTTTATTACATTAGTTGCCAACCTAAACCATACACTACCATATTTTCTTTCTTAAGACCTTATTAACTTAGATGTCAAGAAACATGGATCTTATAATATTGACTGAGATTCTCAGCTTTGCTGGAATTAAATTGGTAGGAAATTCAATACTGAGGATGGAATAATCTTTTGTAAGTGCAAGTCTCATGCTTAAAATCCATTCAGGCAAAGTCTCTTTGAATCCTCCAACAGCTATTCAGGTTTTCAAAAACAAGATCCAGGTAACTTAGCTATATGGACCGCCAGACCCTTCATTAGTCAATCCATGCCCACCTAACTAGTCTCACCTCTCATCATCTATCCATGTATCTTTTACTCTGGCCATGTCAATGGGCTATCCTTTCCTTTTATTTTTGTTCTTCTCCCTCTCAATGTACATATGAGGTATATTTGAAACAAATTTTCCCATCACATATCCTTTATCATTCATCTCACATACAACTTCCTTTTGAAGCCCTTCTGGACAGGATGCCACTTCCTGTGCTCCCAGAACACCTTGGGTTGGCCTCCTCTTGCGTCTCTCCATGCAGTACTGGAGATGCTGACTTACTTGTGTGCTGCCCCCAGGACACAGTGAGCACCTGGAAGCATGTCTTTCATCTCCATATCTCCAACACCTTGTACAACACCCTCACATTTTAGGCATTCAAATGTTTGATGAGCAACCAACTGAACAAATGAATCAATTCACAGATGAACTGTCTTCAGTAGAATTGAGTGATGGATGATGAAGAGACAGGAGGCTGTTGAATGCTTCAAAAATAAACAAATAAAACACTATTTTAAAAGTTCTTAATCCAGAAGCCTTTCCTCTTATGTAATTTTAATTTAAAAACCACAGAATTTAGTTCAATATTAGTTTAAAATTAAGGAAAAAATTGTGTTCATCTGTATAAATGTGTATAATGCTCTCTCTCTCTCTGTCTCTCCCTCACCCTCTCCCTCACCCTGTTTCTGTCATCCCCTCCACTTCTTTCTGCCGCAGATCCTTCTCAAGTTCCAGAACACTGGCCACAGGAAGGGGAGATCAAGATTCATGATCTGTGTGTGAGATATGAAAATAATCTGAAACCTGTTCTTAAGCACGTTAAGGCTTACATCAAACCTGGGCAAAAGGTGCGGAATTCACTGACATTTGATTTATTTCATACAAACTCTTTGATGGACACTCTATTATCTCCGGAGGTCTTCAGACATTCCAGCCAAGTATATTCTCACTTGGCTTACATAATATTCTGTGTACTTTACAGGTGAAACTATCTGCATAAAAGAAAATAGGAGGGATAGGATCAGAATAAAATATATCTTTTCTGTTATATTGCCATTCATTAGTCTCCTCTGAATCGCAATTCAAATGAAAGGAAATTCAAAAATAGGTGTGTTCTTAAAAATTTCTGTCAGTGGTTCTAGCCATACCAGACATCCTCTTGAGAACTTTTGCATTTGGACTAGCTCTAGTCCCAAATGATTTGTTTTAGTTATTTTAAAAAGAGCAAGCATACAGGGATAAAAAGGACTTGTTCTACTTTTTGTTATAAGATCACTTCTAGGAAAAAATAAATATTCATTAGACTAACATATGACTAATTCAAAAGTTAAACCACAAAGAAAAACAACACAATCACATAAAAATTTTAAAAAGAGTTGGAATGGAATTACTGATGATTTGGTGAGAACTCCATGTTTTCATCTTAATAATGACCATTGATAACAGAGACCTATAAAGAGAATGGTGATGTTAATGTAAGTATTTAAATAGAATTGTGGTTTCACTGTGGTGTCTTGTCCAAGTCAAACATACTTTTTTCCCATCTTTCATCATTTGTCTGAGTCTGTCATCCTCTCTGAGTGACAGTTGCTTTTTCAGGTGGGCATATGTGGTCGCACTGGCAGTGGCAAGTCGTCATTATCTCTGGCTTTCTTCAGAATGGTTGACATATTTGATGGTGAGTTACTAACCAAAGTTTTCCATTAGTCGTGTGATCCTCTCCCTTAGAAAATGCAACATCAATGTACCTAATTCTATATAAATAAAAACCCAAATATTTACAAGGACTTTGTATTCTATAGCCCATGTATTGAGTCATGTATCCCAGGAAAACACTCCTGAAGTAAAGAAGAAAATATAGAATTGTGGAAATAAAACTATTAGCCCAAAACTTAGTTCTAGGCATAGTTGGTAAAGAATTCCAGTAAACTGACAAAGTGAAAACAAGACCACCCGTTTTGAATAACAGTAGAGGGAGATAGCATTTTAAGAGGAAGAAAGCAAGGGGAAGACTGTCTTGTTTTCTGAAGGCTAAAAGTATATCTCTTCTCATCAAAGGAAAAAATACAAGGAGAGAAGTAATCTGCACCTTTAATTTTGGGGCGTGACTCTCACTGTCTTCTTATTAACGTTATTTAATGAGCTTGAACATTTTGTGAGGGAGAATCTTTACTATAAAGTGCCAAGCACATGTAGACAATATACAAAAACATTTATTTATCCACAAAATTATTTATAATATGATACATGGAAATAATTTAATCTTTACTTTGTAAAAAGTAGGTCACATGTTTAGTCTATCAAGTGGCCTATAGATAGACCAGAACATAAGCCATCTTGAATAAAAGAGGATCCAGCAACATGCCTGACCATCAGCTCAGGGGAGTGCTTGCTATTATCACCTGTAATGATTGCAGTGATGGTGATAGTAGTTCACATTTTTATTGTACTTGACAGTTTATATTATTTCATGCAATCTACACAACATTTCAATGAGATAAAGAGGTCAGTTTATGAACTCAAAGTTGAACTGTGGTAATTGCTGTCTCTTTGGGGTTTAGGTTCAGGAATAGGTTAGGTTTCTGCCGCTGAGCTAGCAGTTTGCTCCTTCTGTGGCTAGTAATAATACACAGATACTTTACAGGTTTTCAGGAGGGATTTGCAGTATAAGTCAGTTACACGGTCCATAGACAGCTGATGGACACTCATCTTAAAGAACTGTGGCTGTGACTGAACATATTAGATTATGAAACACATTTCAGGCACCGAATGGTCTCTCAATGACTTGTTCTCTTTTTAATATCATTAGACTATTAGGATTTTACTAGATAATATATTATTTCTGAAAGAAAGTTTATTTAACCCCCTTTCCTGCTCTTGAATGTAAAGTCACCTGGAAAAGGGACTCCAGGTGTCATGCTTCACCTGGTACAGTCCGCACGTGGGGCCGTATTTGTTTTTGCATGAAGGGATATGACAGTAAATCTATCAAGTCTGAGGAAAAGACGTGACAATTGTACAAGTCTCTGTAAGTCTACATATACCATGGAGAAATTCATTAAAGCGTGGTAACTATGTCATAGAATTTTTTTCTTATTTGTAATACACTGAACTGTTCAGTCAATACAGGAGTGAAAAAGACATGCAAAAATCCCTGTCTTTAAGGAGCTTTGTTTTTACACTTCAGTTGGGGGAGAAACACACACACACACAAAGATCAGTAAATGGATAAGGAATGTGCTATGAAGGAAAATAAAGCAGAGAACTGGGATAAAGGTAGTTTAGGAATTTCAACCCTGAACTAGGAACGTACTCTCAATTTGTATAGCAAATAAACATTACCTTGCTTGTGATTTTACCACATACCTGCCATTTTTGTTTCTCCTTAACAGGAAAGATTGTCATTGATGGGATTGACATTTCAAAACTGCCACTGCACACACTACGTTCTAGACTTTCAATCATCCTGCAAGATCCAATACTATTTAGTGGTTCTATTAGGTAGGTGATGTATTTGACAGAAAACTGTGTACCTCAGGATTTACCATTTGGCTCATAGGACAGTTTTGCTTAGAATTACTTTTCAGGTAGGTGTGAAATAATAATATCAAGATGCCAAGATCAAATCTCTATCCAACAATTTGAATTGGGGAACCCTCAAGTTGCTAAATTAGTCTATAGAAGCCAATCTTTTTTGTCTCCAGTTCTTTTTCCATTTGATTTTACCAAAATCACCTTTACTCTGCACTTGGGGGCTGTGGTTCTTGGCAGACCTTTCTTAGGTATTCCACCCTCCAGATATCCTGCATCTCTCGTGTGTATTTGGCTGGACCTTAGCAGACATTAAGTTTGGTTAGTACCTTGATTTCCAGCCCCTGCACCCTTCACTACTTTTCTTTCAGACAACATTGCTTTTAAGAAGCAGCTTTAGCCTTCGTTATTCCTAGTTTTTGGTTTCCCAAGGGAAATAAAGATGGACATATCTGCTATCTGCTAGGCACTGTAAATATATTGTCTCATTAAATCCTCATAATATTGTTCTAGCATATAGAGGACAAGGCAAAAGTAGGTTTACAGTTGTGAGTACATGAAACAGTTTGTTCTTATATTATTATTTATTAATTATTATATTATGTTCCATATGAACAACTGTAAACCTATTTTTGCCCCATCCTGTGTATTATCACCATTTTAAAGATGAATATTTTGAACCTCAGAGAAGCTATAACTTGACCAAGTTCATATACTCAGTAAGTATATGTAGAACTGTGAACCCAAATAAACTTTGACTCTGCGAGTCTGCCATGGCATCTTCCACAAGATTATGACTCTCATTTCATCTCTCCTTTGTCCTCTCTTGCTCCCCCTCTTCATTTATTTAATTGCAAAGAAGTAATTTGCCACTTCCTTTTACTAATTGCTCCTTGTCTTTAAGAGAAAATATATGTAAGATTGCTCAATATTCCGGTGTAACATTACTTTAATTAAAAGTTCTAGATTTAGCAATTTATTTAGCAATACCATAGTTAATTTATATCTCTCAATATATTTACTCTGAATAAATATATCAGTACTATTTTGGTTGGTACAATGCAATGAGTTGGTAAAGCTGATAGCTTCCGTTGTTCCCAGAGATATTTATGTATTTATACCCATCATTTCTGTAGGAATATTTGCTAGACTCAGGTTATAAAAAGCAATATAAAAGTGGGAGAATCCAAGTAATGAATTTTATTATATCTTTTCATGCATATAAACTTTCTAATTATATTATCAAAAATATTTTTTGTAATATTAAGGTAATTCATTCATTCATCAAACATAAGTTGAATGCCTACTCTACCCTAAGCACTGTTGTATGTTCTGGGGTTACAGCAGCAACCAAAACAAATAGAACTTATGTTTTGAGGAAAGAAAAGCAATACATAAGCATATGCAAAATTTTATTTTTATTTATTGACTAACTAACTGATTTTTTTCCTCCTACAGATTTAATTTAGATCCAGAATGCAAATGCACAGATGACAGACTCTGGGAAGCTCTAGAAATTGCTCAGTTGAAGAATATGGTCAAATCCCTACCAGGAGGTCTAGGTAAATTTTTAAATTATATATTTATTTTTAAAATATGCAGTTAATACTACATATATACATCTATATACAATTTATGCTAGAATCACATAATTCTAGTGTTAAATCCCATTACATTTAAAATAATTTTTAAAGGTCATTTCCAAAGTATTCCAGTTAATACAGGTATGCCTTTTCATCACTGGTGGGCACAGATCACTTCAATCAGAATATTTCCTTGTGGTCATTCTGTTCATATGATCTTCCTAATCACTTGTCCTCAGCAAATGGATAAGAGGACTGAAGAGACTTTTAGGTTCAAAGAGTACTTGGTGCCATTTAGGAGCAGGTATTTTCTCCACATTGGCTGCCATTGCTTTGCTGCCAAAAGGTCATATTCATTTTATTTTGAGGTCTGTCCAGAAAATGTCCAGCCATTGTTAATATAATGAGAATGGTTTGCATGGCCGCAGAGGAGAGTGGATTAGATTGGGCATGAGTGAATAATGATGACTTCACTGTATTAGTCAGTGGGGGCAGTAGTTGCTGCTGAGTGAGCATGTGCACTGTGTGGCCATCACATTCAAAATGAATGAGCAAGTAGAGCGATGACTTCGCATCAAATTTTGCATTAAGCTTGAACATTCTTCCAAGATACTATTCAGATGATTCAAAAGTCCGAAGCTCTGAACAACTGGTGACTAGCAGCTTCATCACGACAATGTGCCTGCTCATGCATCACATCTCATGCAGAGTTTTTTGGTGAAACATCAGGTGACTCACCCAGGTGACTCAGTCCCACTACAGGCCAGATTTGACACCCTGCAAATTCTGGCTTTTCTCAAAACTGAAATCATCTTTGAAAGGGAAGAGATTTCAGACCGTTGATAAGGATAGAAAACTACAACCAGGTAGCTGAGGGCAACAGGGAGAACTGTGTGAGATTCTAAGGTGCCTACTTTGAGGGGGACTGAGGTGTCATGTCCTATGTACAATGTTTCTTGTTATCTTGTGTCTTCTTTAATAAATGTCTCTATTTTTCTTATTACATGGCTGGATACCTTCTGCACAGACCTCCTATAATATAATTTTTTGAAGACATTATTTTTTAAAGATTTTATTTATTTTTAGACAAAGGAGAAGGGAGGGTGAAAGACAGGGAGAGAAACATCAGTGTGTGGTTGCCTCTTGCATGCCCCATAATGGGGACCTGGCCTGCAGCCCAGGCATGTACCCTGACTGAGAATTGAACTGATAACCCTCTTGGTCACAGGCCAGCACTCAATCCAGTGAGCCACACCAGCCAGGGCTGAAGACATTATTTTCTACTACCTTAACTGCAGCATCAGTTTTGTTCACTTGACAAAGGAATGAAACCTTACTCAAACAATCTCTGATATAAATTTGGCTGCAGAGGTAGTGCAATTTCTGGCAAATAACTGATGACAGAACAAAAAAAAAACCAGTGTGGATAATGAAAGAATAACATGACTAATGAAACAACAGAGAGTTCACAATATAGTATTTAATTCATAAAAATGAACATTTATAGTTTTGGACTTGTGCATTCTTAAAATCTGAACTCATTTAAGAAAGCAATCAGAAGGACAATAGTTAGTTGATATTCTAATTTTAATACAATATAGTTGTCAAATTGATTGTGTAGTTTTGGCATGAAGTTTTAAAAAATCAATGTATAAAGTTGTCCCAGAGGCTGCTTATACTATCCTTACTTTTTTGGATTCTTTTTTTCTTGTTGTTCTGAATGGTTGTTTTTTTCCTTCCTTGTGTTCCAAATAATTGATTTGATTCTTGGTTTCATCCACTCTACTGTTGTTGCCCTGTAAACTGTTCTTTATTTCAATTAGTGTATTCTTCGTTTCTGACTGGATGTTTTCTATGCTGCTGAGTTGCTTACTGATATTCCTTGAGCATCCTTATAACCAGTGTTTTGACCTCTGCATCTGATAGCTTGCTTATCTCCATTTCATTTAGCTGTTTTTCTGGAGTTTTGATCTGTTCTTTCATTTGGGCCATGTTTCTTTGTCTCCTCATTTTGGCAGCCTCCCTACTTTTTGTTTCTATGTATTAGATAGAACTGCTTTGACTCTGTATCTTGGTAGTGTAGGCTAATATAGTGGGTGTCCTGTAGGGTCTGGTGGCACAGCCTCCCCTATCACCCAAGCTGGATACTTAAGTTGTGCCCATCATGTGGATGAGTACACCCTCCTTTTGTAGTTGAGCCTTGGTTGCTGTTGGCAGATCAATGGGTGGGATTTACCCTCTCCAGTCACCTGCAAGGATTGGCTATGACCATTAACCACTAATCTCTGCCCTCCGTGGAGAATCATCTGTGCAGGGGCAGGGTGGTAGTGCTCTGATGTGGTTCGTAGCTGTCCACTGGGTGTGCAGGCTCTGGGGTTTCCCTGGTGGTGCAGGCCTAGGTCAGCCCCCAGCTTCAAAAGGTCCAACATTCGCATCATAGGGATGCCAGAAAGAGAAGAGAAAGAGCAAGAAACTGGACATCTATTTGAAAAAATAATGAAAGAAAACTTCTCTAATTAGGTGAAGGAAGTAGACATGCAAGTCCAGAAAGCACAGGGAGTCCCAAATGAGATGGATGCAAAGAGGCCCACTCTAAAACACATCATAATTAAAATACCAAAGGTTAAATATAAAGAGAGAATCTTAAAAGCAGCAAGAGAAAAGAAGTTATTTACCTATAGGGGAGTTCTCATAAGACTGTCAGCTGATTTCTCAAAATAAACTTTGCAGGCTAGAAGAGATTTGCAAGAAATATTCAAAGTCATGAAAAGCAGGAGCCTACAGTGAAGATTGCCCTACCCAGCAAAGCTATCATTTAGAATGGAAGGGCAGATAAAGAGCTTTGCAGACAAGAAAAACCTAAAGGAATGCATCATCACCAAACCATTATTATATGAAATGTTAGACTTATTTAAGAAAAAGAAGATCAAAACTATGAACACTAAAATAGCAAAAATACTCATCTATCAATAATTGAATCTAAAAAACAAACTAAGCAAACAAGAAGAACAGAGACAGAATCATGGATATGGAGAGCCATTTTATGATTGCCTGATGGGAGGGGGGTTTGGGGAATGGGCGAAGAGGTGAAGACATTAAAAAGTACAAATAGGTAGTTACAGAATAGCCATAGGGGTGTAAACTACAGCATAGGAAACAGAGTAGCCAAAGAACTTACATGCATGACCCATGGACAAGAACAAGGTTTGGGGATTGCCTGAGGGAGTAGAGGGTGCTGTGTGGAGGGGGGCAAAGGGGAGAAAGTTGGGATGACTGTAATACCATAATCAATAAAATATAATTTAAAATGAAGATAAACTAAAACACAAGCTAATATTCATCCCTTGCATAGACACTGATACAAGAGACCTAACATGACCTTGATCTCATGTTATCCCCCCAAAAAGAAATATAAAATAAAGTAAAATAAAATAAAATAAACCTACTAAATAAAACCATATTTATTTGTTAGTTTATTTGGGAAGGAGGACCTAGTCAAAAACAATACCTTTTATGACTTTATGTCTCAAGGAGAAGGCATCCCGCAAACAAAAACTGAGACAGCATGTCTTTAAGGATATTTTCATTGACTTGGACAGGGCCAGATTGTGGTAGCAATTCCATGGGTCTGGATGAACTTTCTCATAATAATTTTTGATGTCTCTTCTGAAGATGCCTAGCAAGTCTACTTGAAAAATTGGTAATGCTTATAGACCCTTCTTGCTTGGTATTTAGAGACTACCCCCTTTGCCATTAATAGTCAGAAAAACAAGCAATTATATCTTTATTGTAGTCCTCCTCACTAACATGAAAGCTGTATACACCTGGTTTGAATCATGGATACAGTGTTTGTGGGTTATAGCACAGTGTAAGCAATGGGATTGTGTCAGTATTTACCCTTATTAATTGAATGTTGTTTAGGCACATTGACTTGATAAAGAATATATCAATTGCTTGATAAAGATTCAGGCCTAGTCTCATGAAAAACATTCATCATCTCTAGTGTCCTCCTTATTTATTACATCAATTGAAATTTGGAGAATAAATGCATAGCCCCCAAGCTTGACAAATTATAAGAATTTGATGCAATGAGAATATACCAAAAGAAATTGTCCCTAACCCTAACCCCGTCTCACACACATATGCAACTTTACTAAAAAGTGTTTGAATTCTAATAAAAGAGATACTTTTGAAACAGAATTTATTTTAAATTCACAATAGTACATTTTATGAAATGTGGATGGTAAAAATAATGAACATATAACACCCGTTTATCTAGTTAATAGTGTTTTATTCAGCTACTATGTTAGATACTGTGGTAAGTGCTGAGGATACACTGATGAACCAAAACAAGCACAGCCCTATCCACTTGGAGGTTAGAGTTTAATGGGATGCTATAATGGAAAAAGAAAGGGTGTAGAGTTGAGAATATTCTTGTCAAGGTGTACTACAATTAAGCTATGTAATCTTGGACAAGCCACTTCATTTCTCTGGGCCTTAATTTTATTAAATAATCTCTTTAGATACTTATATTACATAGTTAAATAACTTCCAAGGTCTTCCACTCTTCAAAATGTTTAACAGTATTTTATATCTTACTATATGGATGTGACTTACCATCCATTGTCAAAAATAGGATGGCCCATGAATATATTAATTTTCCAATGTAAAATTCCTCTAAACTCTTTGTATATGAAATCCTTGCACCAGTACAAAGTAATATCCAGCTTCTTTTTATAAGACAGAACCTGTTTCACTACCTTACCCAAGGACTATTATAGTAACATTTCTTCAATGAAATCCTTGCTTCTTCCTCTGATTTAGATGCAGTTGTCACTGAAGGTGGGGAGAACTTTAGTGTCGGACAGAGGCAGCTGTTTTGCCTTGCTAGGGCCTTTGTCCGCAAGAGCAGCATTCTCATCATGGATGAAGCCACTGCGTCCATTGACATGGCCACGGTAAGTGCACTATCTAAGCTTTCTAAGCGGATGACTTGGAGAAATAAATGCACATGGAAACTACATCTTTTTTCTCCTGATTGGGTTCTGCATGCTCAGCCTTAATTTGAGGGTCATTTCATTCATCCATTTAATCAACTGATGATAGCACATGGAAAATTGCAATAAAGGAGACAGACACTAGTTTTAGGGTGTTCCTATTGCCAATAAACACAAAATAAATTTGCCATTACTTTTTCTTAAATTCTCAAAACTGTAAAATCCCAGGGCTCAGTGCATGAGAGTACTGTATTCAAGTATTATCATGGAAGTTCTAAAATAAAATATGCAAAACTCTATTTAATAGAATCGATTGAGGATCAAAGCCAATCATCAGTTTCTAGAATAATTTGCAGAAAAGTGATTAGAATTGATAATGGCTACAATTAATAATGGTTGTCTCAATGTATTTAACTAACAGACCAGAAACTTCGACTTTAGAAAGAAATTATTTTAAAATGTCAATTATGTATAAAAAAGATCTGTCTAGAAGGCTGTGATTAAGTAGAGAAAAGTCACATTAAACCACAAACTGATCTAGCAATCAACGTTTTTATAAAAGTTAACTTATTAAAAGTTTAGCATCAGAAAAGATAAAAATAAAAAACATCCACAACCTCATGTTATTTTCTTGCTATACACATTAGATTGGGCAAAACTACTCCAAATAGTGAAACAGTTTCAAGATTAAGAGCCAATTATGTAATTTGATGTAATTTCTTCCTACTAAGTAAGGCTAATCAATTAAAGTAACTATACAAAGTTATAGTATATCTTCTCAAAGTTAAGATAATTTAAAGCTATAAAATAGTTTCTAATCAAGCCGTTTCATTAAATAAGCATAACAACATCAAAATTAGTATTGATTACTAAGGTTTTACAATATTGGGGGTTATTTTAAGGGTAATACTGCCTCAATAGAGTTGAGAGAGAGACAGAATGTCTCTCAGAGAGCTCTCAGAAGGGTTTGGGCAGGTGGAAGCATTGTTCTTGGGGACCAAATACCATAGTGAGAGGAAGTAGTCCAGAGAAAATTCAGACTTAATTTGTTTATTTTTTTTTGGCAGGAAAACATTTTGCAGAAAGTAGTAATGACAGCTTTTGCAGACCGCACCGTTGTTACAATAGCTGTAAGTATGGGAGATGGGGTTGACTTCTTCCTCTCTGGTTTTCATTCCAAGATACAATAATCTTTATTTTTGAACAATTATAATACATTGAATTATGTCTTTTTTGCTAATGTTTCTGTATCTGTGCAAAGAAAAAAAAATACCTGCTCTGCCCTGAAAGCCTTTACATTGATTTTTCCAGACTGACTGCTCTGCCCACCTCCCTGAAGTCACAGTGACAGTACACCCTAATTGTCAGGTTCCGGCAGGTCATGGCCTGTGCTTTTCCTCAGATACATATGGTAGATTAGATAGGTCACTTTTCAACAGTCTGATGGTCTAGAGAGTAGTTTCAGAAGCAAAATTCTTAAATTTGACTGCCAATTCTGCCACTGTTTATACTTCCTTTCTATGTCTCTTTCCACTTAACTGTTTTCTTAAAAAAAAAAAAAAAGAAGAAGAAGAAGAAGAAGAAGACAGGCAATGCTTTCTCTGAGCACCAAATCGAAGAACTGCTTAAATCTCTGTAATCTGTGTTATAACTTCCTTCCAATAGGCCATGGTTTTCTCTCTTCCTCTTTGCAGATGAGTGGATTCTTGCTCCTATTTAGGCCTCATATTTAATAAAAACTATTTTGTGAATGAATCACCTGGATGTTTTCTCTTTTGCTGATTCTCTTTCTCCTTTCCACTTTTCTTTTCTCTCCAGCATCGTGTCTCTTCTATTTTGGACGCAGGCCTTGTTTTAGTCTTTTCTGAGGGTATCTTAGTGGAGTGTGGCACGGTTCCAAACTTGCTCGCCCACAAGAATGGCCTCTTTTCCACTTTGGTGATGACCAACAAGTAGACCATCACAAGCTCCTGCCAAGTATCCCATTCGGTAGCTATTTTAGCAGCATCCCCTCAGTAAGACAAGGCTAATGCAGCCATTCCAAGGGGAGGGATTGGTGAGGGAACAAACTACTCACTGAAGCCAGGTGCTTCAGTTATGTTCAGTTCAAAGGAGACAAGCGTATGTATAAGTATTAAAATGGAAATGTGCAAGAGGGAGTGTTTAGGAAAACCCAAGACCCAGGTTTACCTCTCTGTCTTATTTCTTGGGGATGATCTCTAAGGGTCCTGAAGAATACGATGCATGTTCTGTACTTGCCCTGAAGAATGTGCTAATTTAAATAATTACTTAAGTTTAGCAGTTGAGTGATGGAGCTAGGTATGGAGTGTTTGCTCAGGCTGCCATTTGTGTAAATGATGTGTGGGAGAAAATGAACCCTTGGAAGCTGGGCTTTTTTAAGGTGGCCACCTCCTGTAAACGAGGCCTGAGGAGAGAGAAACCCACTTTCTCTCACTTTCCCAGTGAACTCAGTGGATCCTTTTGCCCTGGAGAAGAGGTCCCCTGGTCAGTTCATTCACACTAAAGTGTGAACAACTTAGTGAGTAAGAGAATTGGCTAACCTGAAAAATGGTTCTATAATATTTGCAAGAAATTTTTTCACTGGAGGGGTAGGGAGAAAGAACTTCCTGTTTCCTCTAAATGAAAAGGTAGGTAAAGGTGAGGGGCACAGACCCTAACCTACTCAAAAGACTAGTTTTCTCTATGCTGCATGACGCATGGCCTTGTTGAATGGTCCCTTTTAGTCTAAACCAGGATTACTTGTACATCATTTGACTTTTCACCAAAAAGTTATGTTCTTACCTTGTTTCTGTCCTGCTACATTCATGAAACACTTTTTAATGTGCTTTATATTGTTCACCTATTTTATGTGTCAAGACCACTAGTGTGGTGGTAGCCACCAGGATGCGCAGAGTTCTCCCCGCTGCACATGCAGGAAGCTGTGGGAAAAGCACAGTACTGTGGGGCCAGCTCCTCCCACGAGACTCACAGGAGACAGGGCGCCAACCTTTGGGGGACTCCTTGTAGAATGACCCTCAGCTCTATTAGAAGTAACTCTTATTTCCTTCCCTGTTAAAAGTCGTTCTGTTAATTTTGTTACCTGCTAATGAAAATTATGGAATATCTTAAGAAAATTTTCTCTGGCCTCTAAAAAGAAGCCCTTGTCACCAAAATAGTACAGGGCATTATTTATAAAAGTGATTTGTTCTTCACTCTTAATTAGATGAACTTCTGTGGAGCATTTTGAAAATTTCATCAACGCTATTGCAATTGGCACCACACTTTGTCAAGCAAAAAATAATTTGGATTAATGGACTAAAAACCAGCTATATTTATTTCCATTGGCCAAGTTTTTCAATGTTTTCATTTTTTAAAATAAACATTATTTTAGAATATCAAGGCAATGTTTATAAGATTCTATTTGTGGATTTAAGCCACATTCTTTTCTTAATATCTGTGATATGGTTACTGAAGAACTAAGTGTTTGGAGGGAAAATGCACAGCGTATATTAAATAGTACATTCAATTTAAGTGTATTTTATTGTTAATGTGTGGGCATGCATATGGCTCTGGTCCTTTCTCAAAGATAAGTAAACATTGTCTTCCAACTAGTGACATTCCCTAAATATTTATCATTAGCCCCTAATATTTAGTGAATGATAGGTTTGTCTGTGAATGTTGAAAATAGTGATGCATATTCTAAGCTGTCTTCTTTATCACACTCCATATAAGTGTTTCTTTTCTTCTCTAGTTCTGAGTCCCAACTATGACCACTTGCTTCTCTGAAAGCATGAACAGTGACACACCTGCCCCCCATCTAGGTGACCCAGAGTGGAAGATAGGCCTTTGCCCCTGGAGACGGCTTTAAGTTGCACTTTGGGTTGTTAGGAGAAGGTACTTCGGAAGCCTGTGCATCAGCTAAACAGATGGTATTTCCAGGTTGATCACTCCTGTCAGCATGCTGATGTTTTGACCTGTGTGGTCCAGGTACAATGTGGTAGTGCCTAGACACACATGGCTATTGAGCCCTCAGAGTGTGGGTAGTCCAAATTGAGAAGTGTTGTAGGTGTGAAATAGCCACTGGATTTGAAAGACATAGTACTAACAGAAGAATGTAAAAGACTTCATTAATAATTTTTATATTGGTTACATGTTGCAATAACATTTTAAATATATTAGGTATATTATTAAAGTGAATTTTATCTGTTTATTTGTGCTTTTAAAATGTGGCTCCTAAGAAATTTAGAAGTACATGTGCCTCACATTTGTAGCCCACGTTGTGTCTCTGTGGTACAGCACTTACCTTTACAGGAACAGTGAAAAGGCCCACTGCACAGATTTTCCCCTTATAAACCCTAAAGATAAAAAAATAACAGGCGCAGCTATGTATTATTTGCTTGTATGTGTCAGACAAGGTGCTGCTGACATTTTTGTAGATGGATTGTCTCATTTGATCCTCACCACCACTCACCAAGGCAGATACTGTTATTCCCATCATTTTATAGACAGGAAACTTGAGACCTACAAAAATCAAGTGTGTTGCTGGAAACTGTGCAACTAACAGGTGGCAAAACCAGAATATGAGCCTACTCTCATTTCAGAGCCTGTGCTCTTAACCACAGCGCTAATGGTGGCAGGTGAACAGTCCTCTAAATTGCCAGTTGCTCCACGTGAAACAGTTTGGTGGCAGGTTCGGACACATCTCACACTTTAAAACTAAGCCTGGTTGGTGTTGATGCTGGTTCTGCTGCTGTCTATGGGATCTCCTGATTTTGCTCTAACTCTATAAACCCCAAGGGTCTCCCCTATAAAGTGAAGAAAGATAACACCTACATTGAGGAATGTTCTGATGATTAACAAGTATGTGTGTGGAACACTTAATGTGTGGTATATGCTCAGTAAGGGGTAGCTTTTGTTATAATCCATCCTAACACTGCATGGCAAAATGGACTTCCCCATATTGTCTTCCCAGGATTGACCACCTTCCAGGATTTTTGAAATTGTGGGTTAGCCCACAGAATTAGTTGACTCCACACAAGAGATAATTTTGGTCTAGACTAAGCTGTAATCCATGGTTATATGATGACTCTTCCTATTTAATTATTTGACAAAATGTTTATTAGCCAACTTACACTTCCATGAAAATGATGAAACTACTATATTAGCTGCAATCAATTTAATACAGCCCATACAAGACCCAGCAATAGTGGCCAGTATTTTAAAAATTTACCCCAATGTAAATAAATGTCTCTGAATAATGGGTGAAATATGCATATCCATTGCTTTGACTTGCGCCCCCAAATCTGTAACAAATACGTTTTCTTTTCACCCACAGCATCGGGTTCACACTATTCTGACGGCAGACCTAGTGATTGTGATGAAGCGAGGAAATATTTTAGAGTATGACACTCCAGAAAGCCTCTTGGCTCAGGAAGATGGAGTATTTGCTTCTTTTGTTCGTGCAGACATGTAAAGGGAAGTCTTAAAACGACACACGTATTAAAAATTATTCAGTCATAACCTACTCATTGGATCATCGGCCTGACCTTTGGAAAGTGCTATCTTAAACTTTTATGCATTTTTATAAAGCTTACTTGCTATGTTGTAGAACTTTGTAATTAGTAACAATGTCACTTTACCACTGAATATTGTATTTCCTGTGTTGACTTTTCTTCTTTCGCATTTGTGTTTTGTTTTCCAAGATATTACTGGCTAATATATTCATTACTGATGTTTTTCTAATGATTAAACCATTTTAGCTTTAAGGTTGTATCAAGACATGTAAGCTTCTTTAAATGTTAAATCAACAGATATGTTTTCTATAATTTTAAGTCTAATAAATATCTCTCAGACATAGAAATTAAAATGAGTATTCAGTGTTATTTTACTCTTTTTGTAAGAATATGTTTTCCTATTTGTTGATGTCTCTAGATGTTACTGGAAAAGAACAAAAGGACAAGTTTTCTAATCAGTTAGGAAATAAAACCTTCAAATTCATTATCTACAGTATGAGAATATTTTCTATATTCATTAATGTTAGTAATACTGTTGTTTCCTTTAAGAGTCTCTTATTTTTTTTTTGTCTAAGTTGTTTCCTGTTACCAAGAAGTTACCATATTTATAATAGCTCTTTAAAACCAAAGCCTTAACTAGGAAGATCCTGAAAAGATTTGAATATTTAAAAAATTATACTCAAGTTTCCATTTTTCTGTGTCTACTAAGGAGAGAGTTACTGAGATATCAGGCATCATGTGCCTTTTCCAGACTGAATTTCAGAGTAATTAGGTCCAATCCTTCAGTGGCAGGCCAGCTGAAGCCCTGTATGGTTTTATTCACAATTAGATGTGGTTTTGATCCTGAGTCCTTAAATTTCACATAACTGAAGATTTGGGAGCATGGGCCTTACTTGCACAGCAGATACATATATAAATATCTAAAAGAATGCATTGTGTTTAGACATTTATACCCAGTTGTATCACACGTGCTCCTGTTCTAATGTAACATGCATGCAAAAAGTGTAGCAAAAATGTTTTCTCATTGTAATGTGTATATTAAGACTGCATCAGAAATTGATGAGATATTTGTATTATGTTTTCTCAATATAAATTAATATACTCAAAAATACTAAAAGTTACCTTCCCTGTCATGCTAGTGTCCAGAGCTTTCTACTACAATTCTGTGCCCACCTAGTATATTACTGATTTTCATATGAGGATCTGCATGCACTGTAAAATTTTGAAGAATTACATAATCAATGGAAAAAGAGAATTTATGCTCCCTTTCTTTAGTTCTTATGTTCAGTTCATTGTATTATGTATCCACTTTTGGAAAATCTGTGATACTTGTCTCTCCAGAGTATATGACTGGGCGTTCACCTAAATACGGAGTCCTCATATTTACCTAAAATAAGTTCCACAAGCGTGAACAAAAGTGTCCTATGTCGCTTACCTTAAAGTGTCACCATTCATTGATATATATGAAACTTCATTTGGAGAAAAGGCCTCTTATTGTTTCCAGAAAGGTAAACAGAACAAAATCAGCAACTATTAATTTGATCTTGAAAATACTTTATAAAATTTCCACCAATCTTCTCACAGTATTTCTGGCATGCAGTGTTTTATAAGGCTGAATTTACGTCATGCTTGTTATCAAGTTATAACTCATTCTCACAGAGAAATGGGGATTGAGCCATAGAAATAATCCCTCGTAATATTTGTGAATCATGCTGCCATACAAGCAATGTCAGCAGAAGCATATCTCCTTACACCAAACTGAGAATCATGCCTAGCATTCTTTCACCCTAGTGGTTGCTGGTTGCCTTATAACTTTGAATCACCTAAATTGAGTAGTTGTTTGTTTACAAAATTAAACTGAATAAAGTCAGGGATGATTTTTTAAAGATTTTATTTATTTATTTTTAGAGAGGGAAGGGAGGGAGATAGAGAGAAAGAGAGAGAAACATCAATGTGTGGTTGCTGGGGGTCATGGCCTGCAGCCCAGGCATGTACCCTGACTGGGAATCGAACCTGGGACACTTTGGTTCCCAGCCCGTGCTCAATCCACTGAGCTATGCCAGCCAGGTGATTTATTAAAATTGTTTAATCATTTACTATGTCCTATGTATGATTTATTGAATACTGAAATAACTCATCTTGAATTAACTTATTAATAAATAAGTATGTATCAGTAAAAAAGCCAGCCTTAACCAAATCAAATTTTATTCAAAAATTTTACATTTAATTAATCAAGTCAATTTTTTAGATTGTAAATCCTTAATTTTGGTAAAAGCAATAAATGCATTAAGCTTTATATTAAAATAACAAGGTTACTGATATCACTGAAAGAGAAGGAGTCTCTTAAGGAATTATATGTCCTCTATTTTTATGCTACTTTTCATGACCCTTTTAACATTCAACTTAGGTCTAGATTAGGTACCAGAAGACCCTTCTAAGTAACCCATACGTGAGATTTGGGACCATATAACATTTGTCTTTGTGCCCTCAGCATGTGACACAAGTGCCTAGTGCACAGTAATTTCTAATAGATCTAGTTAATCGATCCATTGATTATTTTCACAACTAGCCATGTGCCTAGATCTACATGTTATTCTCTTCACTTTCTGCGTGGTGTTATCCTACTGTGAAAATACATTGGCTTTATATTGTATAATAAATTACTCTTTTATTTGCTTGATTAAAGAGGGTGATTATTCTCTCACTTATAACACCATTGGTTATCAACCAGGGCTGATCATAGACATAAATCAACAGCAGTTGCTGAGACGGTTTTGTTTCACATTTGCCTCAATCAATCATTAACTTCATTAATTATGTATAGGCTCCATGGAGGTTTCCATTAAGTGGAACGGCTATATCAGTAAATTTTGACATCTGTAATTAAATAGCTGGATGTCTGGACTTTTCCCTAAGGTTTCTTGATCAATTCTATGGTTGTCTTCCAATCTAACTTATTTTATGCTACATTCTTTGGAGTTCTGTGATTTATAGAACTAACATAATTCCTTTATTGACCCATTGTCCAAAGTTAAATGTCATCTTCTAGTCTTAGCCCTGTAGCGTAACAAACAGTAGCCAAGAGGATGTACTCTGTCACTTAGATTTAATTATTTCTTTGTAGCTACACATCATTTACAACAGGTTTTCTCAAGCATAAGTAAGAGTCAGCTGTCTCAAACTGCAGTGAAAAATCGGTATCTACATTTCTAGCAAGTGCCTCCAGGTGAATTTCATAGATAGTCAAGTTTAGGAATCACCGATCTACCTAAGTCACCACCCTGGCTCCTCTTTATTATGCAAAACATGGAGCCATAAATTACTGAAAGTGATGTTCAAATACTTCCTACTTCCCTGAGGTCACTTTGCTCGGTATTGCTAAAACAAGCCTCTAGGTATCATCGAATAAATTGCCTTAGTTCTAGTGTAAAGGAAACATAGCAAATGAACTGAATCTTAGCCGAGAAGATAACAAAGGGCCTCTGAATGCTATTTTGTTTTGTGGTTTAATCAGAAATAATGTGATGTAGGGGAAACATTTACTCAAAGATGCAAAGCTTCCCCCACCCACATTTGAATTCCCAATTGAGTCATTTGCACATTATTCTGCTGAATTTAAATTTATATTTCCAAATGTTCACAGTACATGAACATGACTGGTTTGGGTAGGTTCCACACTGATGTTTCACCATGTGGAAAGAAGGTAAATTATTTGTGGTGATTAGTCTACTTTCTACCTTCACATTTTTTCTGCAGGTATTGTCATCATCATTGATATATTCATTCCACACATCTACTACTTAGGATTTAAATTATTTCCTTTAAATGGGCAGTAGCAAATTTCCCTTAGCCATTCTCATGATGGTTACCAATGCCTTCTTTCTAGACTGACAATGATTGAGGGGCCCATAGTTGGCTAAGTTAAATCAGCTGTGAGAAGAATGCCCTCTGTGACTTTAGTGCCACCAACCATCATAGACCACCTCCAGTTACACACCACATTTTAATGACAGAGCTTTGTCTCCAGACTATTATTTTTATTACTTAATTTCACCACTGCATAGAAAACTTGCTTATATGTAGCAACGATGCAACACTGCTTAATGCTGATTTATTCCCATTTTTCTCTTGGAAAGGACTACAGCATGTACTAATTATACAGAAGATCAGTTGTAATGAAGTGAAAGACTATTGACCTCTAACAGTACTAGAGCCAAGTGGATTGAGTCCAGCTCTTCTAGGTGTTTTGCTCTTTGGCTCACAGTAACTGGGGCTTTGTTCCAACACTTGTTAGGAGCAATTTTTTAAATTTCTTAATCTCTTTGTTTCAGATAACCAAACATTTTATCAACCCTTTGAATAATAAACAGAATCCTCAACTGTTTGAATCTGTCACGGGATACAGCTAACCCTCTTTTACAGATTGCAATCTGTCCTCTAACCAGTCAGTATGTTATTGCGGGCCCCCAAAACACACGTGTGTACACATTCACATTTTACTTGCTGTCTTAAAGAAGAGTATAGTGTGGGGAATTTGTGTATCACATATTAATACAATGCACAGAGACATCAAATATAGGAGCTTAGAATGGATGGCAAAAAGAGGAAGACTCTTATAATCACAAAAATTTGTAAGTGGATCTTCTAGACCTAATGGAATTTCAGTTCTAGGTAGATCATGAATGTATTTCCCATGTTATGAAGTCCAACCCACTTTTTCTATTAATTTTTAAGATAACAATGGCAACTTATTGCTGGGTTACAGTGAGGAGACTCTTTTTAGTTCAACAAAGTGATGATGATGGTCGTCTCATGAAAGATAATGAACCAGGCACCTATGAAAGGTGGCTGTTTCCCTACTCAGGGCTGTGGCATGCAGATAAGCTTTGGTTTTTCATCTTAATTGATAATCTGTTGCATATCTGCTATGTACTCACCTTTGAGTAATAAAGTGTGATTCAAGGAGATTGTCGGGGTAGTGCAAAACTTTAAGTACATTAAAAATAATATAAAAGTTTGAAATAATTATATTTATTGTAGTTATTTTTACAGGTAAGAAAACCAAGGTTAGAATTTAAATGAATTACCCTCAATTCAGTGATTTAAAGTCCATCTGACCCCAGAAATGGCGCTTTATACACCAGGGAAAAGGAGTGGATTGATGGGGGTGATACCAAAAGGGCGTATCTGCACTGGAATTTAGAAAAAGCGGAATTATCACATCTCAGGAAAATTGAGGACTGAACTGGGTCCAGAGACCTGTCTAGGGACAATCTGCCTCCTCAAGTTCATCTCCGCTGCAGGCTTCCCAGCCTTTTTCTGTCCTCTGTGCCATCCTATCCTTCTGTCCACT